CCAAGGCCCGGTGGCTGGAAAGACTGGGAGTACGAGGAACTAAAAGCAGGTCATGTAGCAGGAGGCTGATGCAAGATCAGGCCAGAGATGCCCTGGGCCCAGGTCCAGCAGGACAGTCATAGGGCTGCTGTCCCTCTTCCAGAAGCAGCATTCTCCTCACTCTGGGACACTGGACAAAGTGATTCATTGTTATTTAAATGACAGAATACACCTCTCCGCTTCTCCTTTTCAGTGTTCAGCCCCAGCTAGTTCTCTGACTGAAGGATAGTCTTCCTCTGGTGGCAACAATGTGTCTTTAGCTTCGCTAATCTTCCTTTGTAACTAAGAAAGCTGTCTGGCACCTCGCACTGGCTACTGTTTCAGCAGGATCTTATGACAGTCTTTCCTTTTCATTGTAACTTTTATGAACTGCTGGTTACCTTCTAAGTATAGGGAGCGATTAACTCACCATTAGGTTTAAAAATTAGATAATACTCGTATAGTTGTTACACAGATCTGATAAAAATCCTGTCAACTGTCTGAAGTTTGGGAAACTCTTAAGAGCCATCGGAAGCCATAGATTAAATGAGATAATAAATAGTAAGCACTTAGCATCTGCTTATCCCAAACAATATATTGACTCATTTTGGCCTGGACTAGGCATTTATTCATGAAACATTTGAGTGGGGTGCAGATGCTAAGTAAAACATATCTTCTCAAATGGTGAGCAGTGCTCCTAGGAAGGCTGAGTAGAGTGAGGCACTGTTTGAGTCAGGTGGCCAAAGGCCTCCCTAAGGAGGAGGTGACATTTCAACAAAAACCTGAGGAAGCCGAAACCGGTTTTGCTCAGTGGTAGAGCATCGGTCTGCGGAGTGAAAGGTCCCAGGTTCAATTCCGGTCAAGGGCATGTACGTTGGTTGTGGGCACATCCCCGGTTGGGAGTGTGCAGGAGGCGGCTGGTCGATGTTTCTCTCTCATCGACGTTTCTAGCTCTCTCTCTCCCTTTCTCCCTGTTTAAAAAAAAAAAAAAAATTAATAAAATATATTTAAAAAAACACACACAAAAAACCCTGAGGAAAATGAAGATGGATGTGGGGGTATCTGGGAAAAAGGCATTGCAGGCAGGAGGAACAGCAAGTGCAAAGGCCCTGGGGCCAGACCATGCTTGGCCTGTCCTGCAAGCAGGAAGGAGGCTAGTGTGTTGGAAGCAGGGGAATGCCAGGAGAGTGACAAGATCCAGTTTGTGTTTTATAACATCAGTGCAGTTGCTGTGTACAATAGATTGTGGGGGTCAAGGGCAAGGGGAAGCCAGGAAGATGGGAAAGGCTTGGAGGAGTCCTGAATTGGGAGACTGGTAGGAAGCAGCAAGAATTCTCTTTGGCTCCTGTTCTATTTGGAATAGGACAGCCTCTCCCCTCACCCCCCACCCCCAAGGAGACTGGGATGAATAGCTAAATTTAGTAGTACACATAGAGGTGGTATTTAGAGCCCTAAAACGGAATGAGGCTGCCAGGAGTGACTGTAGACAGCGAGGTCCAAGGCCTGATGCAGGAATCACTGGTAACATAGTAAGAAACCATAAGCATGGAGCCTGCAGGAGAAAAAAAAATCAGCCGAAACCGGTTTGGCTCAGTGGTAGAGCGTCGGTCTGCGGACTGAAAGGTCCCGGGTTCGATTCCGGTCAAGGGCATGTACATTGGTTGCGGGCACATCCCCGGTGAGGGGTGTGCAAGAGGCAGCTGGTCGATGTTTCTCTCTCATCGTTGTTTCTAGCTCTCTATCTCTCTCCCTCTCTGTAAAAAATCAATAAAATATTAAAAAAAAAAAATCAATCTTGCCCTAACCGGTTTGGCTCAGTGGATAGAGCGTCTGCCTGGGGACTGAAGGGTCCCAAGTTGGATTCCGGTCAAGGGCATGTACTTTGATTGTGGGCACATCCCCAGTAGGGAGTGTGCAAGAGGTCGATGTTTCTCTCTCATCCATGTTTCTAGCTCTCTATCCCTCTCCCTTCCTATCTGTAAAAAATCAATAGAATATATTGAAAAATAATAATTAGCCCTGCCAAGTCACTAGGTATGGTCAAACCCTGGAGTTGGAAGGGTTCGCATTCTTGTTCATATTGAGCTACTGGAGGAGGGAACTATTTTTCAAACTCTTTGTGTTTAACAGCATCTATACACACTTTTCCAGACATATATATTTGTACTATTGTCATCCTGGCCTCTTAACAATAATAATAATAAAATAACACTGTGCCAGGCATTTTACTAAGCACTTCCTGTGTACTATCTTGCTTAATCTTTATAATGAATCTAAGAGGTAGGGACTACTCCAAAACGTGCAGCCAGGGCAACTGAGGCCCAGACAGGTGAAGTAACTTCCACAAAGTTGCACAGGAAACAAGTAGCACTGGCCGGGCACAGACATCTGTGCTCCTCACCTCACACCTTCTGCAGCTGGCCTTAGCCACCAGCAGCATGGCTGCCTGAGCGGGTAGGTCTGTCAGGCTCTGGCCTTTTACCCTCGGGATTAGGAAGGAGTTTGTTTCAAATCTGTGCCCACTTCAGACAGCACTGTGGTGAACACCCTTCTGGAAACTCCTTGGGGAACCAGAGGGTCTCAGGGCATGGGGCATTTGTCGGTGACGCAGCCATTGTCCAACTACTCCCCAGAGGGCCTGTCCCAATGACCCAGTGCCAGGTCATGGACTGGCAGCTCCAGGCCCCATGGATGTCGGTTATTGTGACAAGTTCTCCACGTTGCTCATTCTGACGGGTGACACGTGTGTGTGTGTGTGTGTGTGTGTGTGTGTGTGTGTGTGTGTGTGTGTGTGAGGTGCCGGCCTGTCTCCCACCGGTCTCCTCCAGCCCCTCCCCGGGGCCGGCTCGGAAATGCCCGCGGCTGGGGCGGGAGTCGCCCCACCGCTTCCCGCGGAAGGAAGGGCCGGCGGTTCCTGCCACAGGATGCACCGTGGGCCCCCTCCCGCCGCCGGGGACTTCCTGGGGCCCGGCCAGTTCTCAGGGGAGCAGCGCCTCCGCGGACACATTGAGCTGCCGAAGGAGGTGCTCCAGCCCCCCCCCCCCCCATCCCACTGGGGAGGGAGTTCTAGGTGGCGCGGCCGCCCACCTTCCCCAGGAAGGAATGGGGGGCCGTGGAGGATAGCTGGGCGGGGGGAGGAGGGGAGGGTGGTGGGAGGCAGGGAGGGGCGTGGGTAAGAGGCTGGTGTGGTGAGGGCTCCTCCATGCATCCTCCCCCTCCCACCCTCCCACCCCGGGGTCAGATCCGGGGACCCAGCCTGGCGGAGGTGGGGCGGGTGCTTTCCCGCTCTCTTCCCACACCTGCGGCTCCTTTGTCCTCCCAGCGTCCCCTCTCGGGGCCCGTACGGGGTGAATTAGGAGGACTTTCTCCCCTGGGGTGGAGCCAAGCCAAATAACAAAGGCTCCCTCCCGGGAGCACTGCTAAGCCTGCGGCCTCCTCCTGGGAAGCGGCTTCAGGCTGACTCCGCAGGCGAGGAAACTGAGGCTGGGCTTACTCCCTGTCCGCGCCAGACAAACCCACAGCCAGAGCCGGGAACGCGGCACCCAGAAGGATCCCAGGTTTATCTGCTCAGCTTCCTCCCCACCCCCACAGGTCTCCCGCCAGAACGGAATCTGTTGGTCAAGTGCAGCCTTGGGGGGGGGGGGTGTTGGATTTGCGTGGCTCTCCAGCTGCGCGTGGGGCAGGTCCCCAGCAGCATCCTCCTCAGTAAACGTAGGGACGGTGAATTCAAGCCCTCGCTCTCCCAGATTTGCAGGGGAAACTTAGTTTTTAATTTCACTCACCGATGTTACAGGGAGGACAGACGGAGAAACACGGCCCCACTGGGACACCCATCCTTTGGTTGCCTCTTGGCCGAGTCCTGACTGGTATGGACCCCAACACTTAGGCGTATAGGGATGACGCGCTACCCCAGCCGAGCCAGGGCTGGAGGGGAACTTCTAAGGAGTGAGGGCGCCAGGGTGCCCAGAGCGGAAGTGGCCTGGCTGAGACGAGGGGACCCGGCCCCGCCCGCCCACGTGGGAGCCGGTCGGGCCGGTTTCTGCGGCCTCAGCGAGCCGCCCCGGCTCCTGGCCCTTCACCCCGCCCCTCCCCCACCGGGAAAGCAAACCAGACAGTGGACTTTTTAATTAAATGGTCTTTTATTTTCGTATCTGGTCTCTAGCAAAAAGGCCAGACAGACAGAGTTAAACAGAACCCACCAGAGTAAACAGGCCCTCCGACGCACTGACTAGCATCGCCCCCTCCCCAAACGGGCCTGGTCTCAGAGCCAGGGGTACCCCCTCCCCCTCTTCTGTGATCCAGACCAAGGTCTCTGGGCTGATTGTCTGTGCCGGGGGAGGGTCACGCTGGAGGCGGTGCGCCTATCCCCACATCGAACGCACCAAACGAGGAAAAAAAATGTAACCTGAAATGAGATCCGTTCCCCGGGACCTGAAGGCAACGGGGTGCGGGGAGAAGCGCGGGGGGCTGTGCCTCAGGCGGCCCCCCTCCCAGGCCCCACGCCCACGCGAGGCAGCAGGAAGCGCCCCACGCCTGCCCGTGACGCAACGATGACCGCTTGCATAAGCATGTCGCCCGGGGGGAGAGGGCGCCGGGCACGCCGCGCTGGGAACCAGGACACCGGCTCTCGGAAAAGCCTCGACAGGGCAGCACAGCCCCCGTGAGAAACAAAGTCCGACCCTGAGGAACGTCAGGCAGCAGACCCCCCTCGCCCAGTCCCGGAGGGAGGCGGGGAGGCCGCGTCCCCGTCGGTCCAGACAGCACCTGCGGGCGCGGCCGGGCTCGGAGGAGGGCGCCCCAGCCCCGGCTCAGGTTCCCGGGCGCCGCCACTGCTCCCGGGGGCGGCAGCTCCCGGGCCGCGGCTCCTCTCCACCGTCTGTCTCCGCGGGCCTTCCCTCCCGCGGGGCGGCCTGGCTTCGGGCTGTGTGTACTCGGGCCGACGGCTCGGCCCGCGCTCTGGACTCCGGCGGCGGCCGGGGCGCTCAGAACGCCACCACGGCCCGCACCAGCACGTTGAGCATGCTGTCCGCCGCGCGGCAGGCCGGCTTCTCGCAGGCCGGCGGCGGCGGCGCGGTCGGGGGCGCGGAGGGGCTGCAGTTCAGGAGGCCGGAGAAGCGCCGCTGGAGCACCCGCGCCAGGTTGGGGAAGGCACCTTCCGCCTGCGCCGGAGGGGCCCGCAGGCGATCGGGGACCTCCGAAGGCTCCCCCCCTTCCTCCGCGTCCTCCCTCTCTAGGCGGGCTTTCTTGCTCGGGACCAGTCCGGCATCCCCGCCGTCGCTGAGGCTGCTGCTCCGCCGCTTGCGGCTGACTTTGGCGGGTCTCGCGGCGCAGCGGGCGGGGGTCTCCTCGGCCGCCGGCGCCTCCTGAGTGTCCATGGGCTCCGGGCAGGGCTGCTCACCGTCAGTGGACGCTGCTTCCGCTGCGGCTGGTGCTTCCCGCGGTGGGTGCAGGCGAGGGTCAGGGGAGCGGGCGGCTGGCGAGGGCACCTCGGGCTGCTCGTGGGCTTCCACTTTGGCCGAGAGGTAGAGCTCCCGGGCGCTCCGCATGACCAGGGACAGCTGCAGGCTCCGGTGCAGCCGCAGCCCTCCGCGCTGCATGCGCGAGTGGTACATTTTCCACACCGACAGGGTCATGATGCGTTGCGCCTCCTTTTGCACCTCCATGGCGACTCGACGGTGGGGACTGACTTCCCTACGGGGCAGATGCACTTCGGACTGCGCGCTGGCTCACGCGTCTCCTCCCCGCGCGGACAGACGCCGTAACACCCCCAGGACGCTCTGCCCCGGCGCCCGCCACCGGGGCCCTTTTGTACCCGGAGTTACGTCACCGCGATGCCCCGCCCAATCAGAACGCCGCATCGGGCTTTCCACCGCGCTGGGGCCAGAGACTTCAGCCTTAAAGCGACAGGGCGGGATTTACCGGACAGACAAAAGGGACACCAGCCCGGACGAGGGGGAGCGATGACCGCTTGCATCTGGGCACTCGGGGTGGTCTCCTTTCTCAGCCCTCCCCACCTCAATGCGGAGGGAGCAGGAAGCGCCGCAGGCCCAGGGGAGCGGAGCCTAAGGGTGAGGCTCGGGGCCCACCCACGTGCTGGAGGTCGCTGGCCCCAGCAGGTCGTGGGCGGCTAGTTTTCCATCGCACAGGGGAATACCCGGGTTTGAGCCCGTACATCCCCCGTGGGCACAGTTCCAGGCGTCTCATTAGTGTTTCTTGAATCAATAACAATGCCAACACTTATTAATCCGTTACTAAGTGCCAGACGATGTTAAAGGCTTTCCTTTCATAAGTATTTCATTGATCCCTCACGGACGTACTGCTGTTATACTTGATTTCTTCACGTGGGGAAACCGAGGCGGACTGACTAGTCCCAATATTTGCTAAGCGAATAAATGGGCCAATTGCAGTGAAAGGGGGCCTTCACCTCTATAGTCTCTAACCTGCGCCAGCCTCCCTCACTCCCCTTGCCTGTTAGCGGAACAGGGTCAGCTGGCCAGCTGCACTGGCGGCGGAAGTCTGCAGACATGAGCGCATCCCCGGCTGCCATCTCTGCTCTCCGCACTGAACAAGATCTTCCCAATTTCCTTCCACACCAGCTCCACGCAAGGTGGGGGACCTGGCCACACGACATCCGGTTGGACCCATGGCTGCGGCCCCTAAACGAACCGGCAGCGCGCTCTGCCTCTGCACCCGAAGAGGCGCGTTTGGGGGGGTAGGAGCTGAAAACTGAGCAATGTAGAAAGCAGATAGAGAACATCGACCCTACCCTCCGCCACGCGCTACCTCTCCTAGAAAAAAAACCTAGTCCTAGTTCCTCCCCCCAAAAAAGCTGCAACATGATTTGAATGGCTCCATTCATTCGCGGTGCGGGCACTTTAAGGGGAGGCCCCGCCCACTCGACTGGAGCGCAGCGCCTTCCCGCCACGGGGTCCGCGCGACGTCCGGGCTAAATTTGGAAGCGATGACGTAGGGCAGGAGGCCGAGCCACTTCCGGCTGCCCATATAAGGACAGGGGCCGGGCTCTCCATAAAGGGCAACAGCCGGCTCTTTCCGGCGGCCGGCCGTGGGTGGGGCCGGGCCCCCAAACACGCCCTTTTCCTTTCCCCTCCCCGGGCTGAGGCTGCCCGGAGCCCCCGGCTTCCGGAGCCGTGTCCAGTGGGGGCGAAGAGGAAGGTTTCGCTTCCTTCCCGGGAGGCCGGGAAGGCGTGACGGTCCCCCCCCAACCCCCCGCTCCGGGAATGCCCCCCGCGGGCGAATTGGGGTGATCTCTGGGCTCCCCACTGGCGCCATATCCCAGATGCTTTACACAAAGACCTTGCCTGCACCAGGGGCGGCCCGGTGAGGGCCCTTTTATCCCCGTCTTCCCAGTTATTTCTCCCTACAAGGCCCCCTCCCAGGTATGACTGCTCCCCTCCTCCCCCAATTAATTATCTCCTGCCCCGTTGGGGGACGCTCAGGTCCCGGTCCCTGCACCTGGGGACTCAGCAATCCCTAAAGACCCCGTGCAACCACTGTCCCCCATTCCTGCCACACACTGCGGGGGCCGGCCGAGAATGTCCCCACCCCCCCACCCCCCACCGCCACCCCGCCACCTCCGAGACTCCGCTATGACATTCCAACCCAGGTACGAACTCTAAAACCCCACACAGCGACTCTGACGCACAGGGGCGACCCTCCGAGGACTTCTTCGGAGGGAGATCAGCACCTCATTCAGGCGATGGCTTCCCCGCACCCCCAAAAAGTGCTTTCCCTAGCCCCAAGGGACGCCCCTGTGTGACAGAGACTTTGTATTCCTCCCACACATCCTTGTTCTCTCCCAAGACGGGAGACCCCACATGCAGAGGGCTCCTCTGCCCCGGAAACAATCCTCAGCCCCCACCACGCCTCCCCGCAACTCCTAGGCTCACACCCGGCAAGACCCCATCCCTCCGGGAGCAGCTCCGGAGCGTCCACTAGCGGCCATTCCGCCCCATGGGGACCTCGAGGTGCCCCCCCTCAGCAGGAAAAAAAAGAAAAAGAAAAAGAGGAGAGTTCGGTAGAACCACCCACAGAATGCCCGCACGTCACCCCGCCCGCAGGAAGGTGGGGACGACCACCTTTCCCTCCAGCCCTTCCCAAACCTGCCACTCCCGGACCCGGGGCTCGGACAGATCTTCCTGGGTAGCATCCGGGCGCAGGCTCAAGGAGTCCGTTAAAAGGACCTACGAATCGAACGAGCCCCTTCCCCAGCCACAATTCCGTCTGATTCCTGGGAGGTTGTTGTTATTATTATTATTATTATTATTATTATTGTTTACATTGCCGGGAGGGGAAACTGAGGCTGCGCAGCAACCATTTCAAGGGGCTGGGTCTCGAACCCAGAGATCCCGAGTGCAGACTCCAGCCGGGCCGGGCAGACCCAGGGGGAAGCGGGGAACCGCGAGAGAGGCGGACGCGAAGGGCGGACGCATGCGCACAGAAAGCCGCCTCTGCCCACACCCAAGATGGCGGCGGAGGCGGCCGGAGTCCTGCACTTCCGGCTTTTGCGGCCTCTCTATCTTTCCTCGTGGCCCGACTCTCGGTGGTAGACTGAGTCACGTGACGGGGGCGGGGGTGGTCGCGCTCTTCCCCGCTGCGAGGAAACCAGCGCTCCAGGCCCGGACGGGAGGGGGCTCGGCCTCCGACCCGGGGCGGTGACATGTCTCTCGAAGACCCGTTTTTTGTAGTTCGAGGGTGAGTGACAGCGATGGGGGAGGACGAAGGGTGCTCGGGCCCCCGCCCGCCAGTACCCAAGCGGCCTTGGGGTGCGCGGGTCGGGATCACCCGGGTCCGAGCGGGAGAGGTACGCGAGATGATGTAGGGGTTCCCTGAGCTCCCCCACTCCTGTGGGGGCGCAGCGGCGGGCGGGAGAACTGCCTGCCCGCCCCCAGACGCGCCGCTGTGCCCCTGCCTGCCAGCAGCGAGGTGCAGAAGGCGGTGAACACGGCCCGCGGGCTGTACCAGCGCTGGTGTGAGCTCCTGCAGGAGGGCGCCGCGGTCGGACGCGAGGAGCTGGACTGGACGACCAATGAACTGCGGAATGGCCTGCGCAGCATCGAGTGGGACCTCGAGGACCTGGAGGAGACCATCGATATCCTGAAGGGCTGGAGGCTGGAGGGCTGGAGGCTGGAGGGCTGGAGGGCTGGAGGGCTGGAGGGCTGGAGGCTGGAGGGCTGAAGGGCTGGAGGCTGGAGGGCTGGAGGCTGGAGGGCTGGGGGCTGGAGGGCTGGAGGCTAGAGGCTGGAGGGCTGGAGGATTGGAGGGCGGCCCGGGAGAGCTCGTTGCGGTGGCAGGGGGGATCTGGGAGGCTGGACACCAGGGAGGAGTTGGAAGGCTTTGAGGCAGATGAGGGGGTTGTGTCTAGCTGTGGCCTTGACTCTTGACTCGGGGCCTACGCATAGTGGAAGCCAACCCAGGCAAATTCAAGCTCCCGGCTGGGGACCTGCAGGAGAGAAAGGTATTCGTGGAGCGGATGCGAGAAGCTGTCCAGGTGAGAGAGAGGAGGTTATGATGGGGTAAAGGGTGGAGGTTGGGGCGTCTTTACTCTCTGATGCTGTCCCCATCCCCAGGAAATGAAGGACCATATGGTCAGCCCAGCAGCCATAGCCTTCCTGGAGAGAAATAATAGAGAGGTAAGGCATCTTGACCTGACCCTAAACATTTTTCAGGGTGAGCCTCTCCTTGGTGTGTATTTGCTTGTTCCCTGGGAAAGTGTGTGTCTGTCCCTTTTATGTCAGTGCCCATCCTTTTGTGTGCAGTCCTCTTGGCTGTCTACCTGCCTGCTTTCTGTGTGTGTGTACCTGAGCCCTCACTGATTGTATAATACTCCCTTCTGCTTTGTCCTGGAGGTCTGTACTGGTTTCTGGGGGCGAGGGGGGGGGGGTGACTTGTGTCTGTATACCTATCCTCTTCTGTGTTTACCGTTTCCAGCATATATGCCTACATTTTCCCTCTGTGTATGCACTTGACCTGAGTGTGTGAACTTGTCCTCTGAATGTGTCTTATCTGCCTTGTGCATGCGCGCACACACACACACACACACACACACACCCGTGGGTGTGCTTGCTTTGTGTGTGTGCCTGTTCATGCCTTTTGTTCGAATGCTCCCTGCTGCCTTGTCTGTACACGTTTCCCCTCTATGTTGTATGCCCATTCTTTGTATGTTGTGACACCACCAGTCTCTCCCCATCCCATCATAAGCCCACAGGGGATCTGGGAAGGTGGGGGAGCTGAGGCCCACACCAGCTTGGAGTCCTGTAGCAGTGCCTATGTGCTTTACTGGTGAGCTACCTTGGGGATTAAAGTCCACATTCTTACACTTGTTTATATGGTAACTAGTGTCCTAGTGCACGAATTCGTGCACATTGAGAGGAATTAGAAATATTTTAATGTCGCTATTTGCTCTTTCTCTATATTAGAAGTGTCAACCAAATTCATGATCGACAACGACAGATTGAAACACATGCGTGTGATTGGTGCTAGTGAGAGTTTTATATGTATCTCGCATGAGCGAGTCAACAGCCTTTTATGTATATAGAATAAACTTGCTTAATTTAACCTGCTTTCTTTTTTCTATATGTATTTTATTGATTTTTTACAGAGAGGAAGGGAGAGGGATAGAGAATTAGAAACATCAATCAGCTGCTTCTTGCACACCCCCCACTGGGGATGTGCCCGCAACCAAGATACATGCCCTTAACCAGAATCGAACCTGGGACCCTTCAGTCTGCAGACTGACACTCTATCCACTGAGCCAAATTGGTTCGGGCTGACTTGCTTTCTGATTTAGCTAAACTTTTTCCAGCCCAGTGAAGCATCCCAATTTCTCTTTCAGGTAGTTGTCAGCAACACAGTAGTAAATATCAACACGAAGCAGATTATTGTTATAGATCACGCAGGGAGAACAAAGGGTGAGATATTTCACTGCAGCAGTGTTTGACTGTATTCTGCGAGTGAGAAAACCTGAAGTCACTTTCAAGGTTCATCATTTATTCTTTTCAGTTGGGTCGTTTCTAAGTTTTCTAAATATCTGTTTTCCGACTAATAAAAAGAAAATGGGATTCCACTGAGTCTCCTATCTACCTTCTCCAGGACTTTTGTGAGGATCAAATGAAATGAGACACGGGAAAACTGCTTCACATTTGGTTACAGTGAAAATGTTTCCACCTGGCTACAAAGCCAATTGTGTTTCTGGGCTGAAGAAACTCCAAGGAGGCTAATTGCTAGGGAGTGGGAGCTGGTTGTTGCTATGTGACATCATTACCCAGCGCCCACAGCCACCGTTTCTAGGCTGGGCTGTGGGCCACATTTTGTGCCATGGGGCCTTGGCAGTGTCGGCTGCGATTTGGTGGGTGTCACTCTGGGGTTGCTTTGTGGGCGCCAGGTCCGAGGTGCTGTTTTTCTGTAAATGGCCAGTGCGAGTCACTGCAGCTCCTCTGTTGAGCGTCTGCCCCCTGGTGGTCATTGTGTATCATAGTTACTGGTCAGATGGATACTTAGCATATTAGCCTTTTCTATAGATAGATGTTTTCCATGGATTAATTTTCTCATTCCAACTTTAGCAAACAGGGATTATAGTTCTCCCCATTTTACAGATGAGGAAACTGATACACCGGGAGGTCAAATGGTGTGACCTTGGAGTCACCTTGCTGTTAAGTGGGTCTGAGGAACCTAGGCCATTGCACTTCAAACACTGCCTTACTAACTACCATCTAAAATTGTCTGAGTCTGGCTCTCTGCTGAGTGGGTGTTCTTCCCTGAGCTTGTGTTCTGTGCCCCACCAGATGCTCACAGGCAAGCCAACTGCCCAGAAGCCATCCAGTGACCTGCTGGATGCCAGCGTGGTCTCTGTCACCTCTCGCTACATTGAGGAGCAGCAGGCCACACAGCAGGTTTGTGTGGCTGGTCAGTCATGGGCTGGAGGAACTCTGGTCTCCCTGATGACAGCAATTCCCACTTCTCCAATCTGCAGCTGATCATGGACCAACAGGATCAACAGCTGGAATTGGTGTCTGGGAGCATCCGGGTCCTGAAACACATGTCCGGCCGCGTTGGGGAGGAGCTGGATGAGCAGGGCATGTGAGGCCAGGACCCCCAAGGTGGGCTGGGAGCCTGAGGCTGGCTCCCCTTCGAAGGCTTACACCATTTTGGTCTTGGCAGCATGCTGGACACCTTTGCTCATGAGATGGACCTCACCCAGTCCCGGATGGATGGGGTCCTCAGGAAGATGGCCAAAGTGTCCCATATGACAAGTGGTGAGTTCTCGGGGGGAGGCTATTTGGGGGGGCGGGTGTGTGGAGGCATGGGGTGGTGCTGCCTCCCTCATGACTTCTGACTCTCTTACCCCTAGACCGCCGACAGTGGTGTGCAATTGTGGTGCTGTTGGGGGTGCTTCTCCTGGTTCTCATCCTGCTCTTCTCTCTCTGATCCTGGCTCTCCCAGGGGGCTGATCCCTCCAGCTGGGGGAGCTGGTAGGGCACTGCCCCCTGGGAGGAGGGTGTCATGTCTGGGGAGCTGTCCCAAGGCTCTCACCGAGAGCCAGTGGAATCCTCAGGGCCCTTGGTTGGAGCCCCCACCACTGGTTCTTTCTCAAGTGCACTTAGGGGGTGGTGGAGGTAGGGGGACCTCAGACACACCCTGTCCCATTTATATTTCCAGTGTCCCAAAGTCATTTATTCACCCTGTGCCTCTACGTGTGCCAACTTGGAAATAAAATCCCAGCCTTTTTTATACATATTTAGATCATATGGTATGTTGACTCTATAAACTTGTGGCTGCTTCTTGAATGGGAACTCTAAACCTCGTTTGCACGCACAGGTGTGTGCGTGTGTGTATGCGTGTGTGCATGTTCGGGATTTCAGTGGCCAGTATTAGGTGCAGAAAAGACTATTCTGGTTAATTTCTTGGTTTTCATGATGGATCATTTTATTGCCCCTGAAAATTTTAAACCATGACTTTTTCTTGAGTGCTTGAAGTTCAACCTAAACATCTTTTGCCTGTTCGGTACCCAAAGTTGGTAGATGCCTTAGCCACGGAGCTGAGAGGTCATTCTGAGGTGCCTCCGAGTAACGCTGGGCTCCCCTGCACACTTGGCTTTGCATGGAGCCTTCCTTCCCGAGTATGAAATGATTTCTATATAAGCTGGGTAAACTTGTGTTGTGAACCTTAGATATCATCAGATGTTTCCATCCCCCACATTATTCAGGCGTGGGAACCACGAATCTCTCACTCATATACACGTCCTAGAGTGCTCCATGTTACGAGGATGTTATTCTATCAGGCCAGTTTGTCAAAAAAGAACCCAGCATGTACAGACTCCTTTTTTATGTGATGGTTTGGGTTCTCTTAGCCCATTCCGTACTCAGTTCTAAGTCTTCCTGGTGTTAAAAGGTGTGCTTCTGGGAGTCAGGTGGGGCAGCATTAGCTCTGAATTTTTGTTGGCAATGCTGTTGGTCCTCAACACCCCTTGACAGCTGATGTTGGACTTCAAGACTCCAAATGGGCTGGTCTTTCTGAGACATACCCAAGCCATCCTGTGACTGTAGTATAGTTGACCTCTGAACAACACAGGTTTAATCTGTGCAGGCCCATTTATATGCAGATTTTAAAAATACTAAAAATGTATATTCTTTATAATTTTCTTAACCTTGTTGCCTATTGTAAGAATACATTATATGGAACATTCATAAAATATGTGCTGTTGACTCTTTTCAGGACAACAGTAGGCTTAGTAAAATTTTGGGGGTGGCAGATATATATGGATTTTTGACTGCCAGTATCAACCTGAACCTTATTAGTCACCCCCATAGACATCATTCACTTGCATCTGGTTGGAAGGAGCTGGCCTGGAGCCTCCTTGTCCACCTCCCAGCAGATTTTTTGTTGACCAGTGGGATCCCTCAGGTAATTAACCTTCCCAGGCTGCTTGAAATGACTGAATAAATGGGATCCCAAGGCACTTACATGTCTTTATTTGGCTCCATAGAACTTTTGTCATTCCATATTCTCAGGACTCTACATTTCAACTTTGTGTGGATTCAGAATGGAGGGAGGGGTGTGTCTGGGATGTGTGATGTCAGACCACAGGGCAGCTGGTGGGTTGGTAGCCCATTCAAGGGAGCCTCTACTAGCTTTGGAGAGACTCCCATGGGATGCCCATGCAGGGGCCATGTATGCAGGAACAGCCTTGGGAAGTGTTGTGTCTACACATGGGGTAATCTGAAGGTGTTATTGGAACCCATTGGTGGCCTGGGTCTGTACTATGTCACCATCTGAAAAGAATATGCTACCCCTCCCCCTCACACGACGGATGTTATGCGACATTTGGCATGGCCACTCCCCAATGCGCAGAGTGTGACCATGCTGTGTTTGTCAGTGAGTGTCCTGGGCAGTGGGTGTTGCTCTGCAGAATGAGGGACCCCAGTGTGTAGCATCTCTTCGCAGCCACTACAACCCCCCTGCCCCCCAGTGAGTAGCATGCTGCAGGGCTGTTACAAAGGCGTTTAGTTTATTCTCATCAGTGTTACTGATGTTCTCATGTTCACATTTCCCAGTGCGCTCCTCTCCTTACAGTAGTTAATGTGCAATCTCACTTACAGGCTGGGGTGGGGGTGGGGGGCTCAGCCCAGAGAAGGGCAGGTGTTGGCACTCCACGTGGACACAGCAGCTGGCCTGTCCTACAGGAACAGGGGCGGCCAGAGGCCTCCAGTCTTTTTTGCGTTGGTGAGTCTCCATTCATGCTCCTTCCTGGCTGCCCAGGTGGGGGTGGGAACCATGCAGCTCAGAGCAGGGCTGGGGGGAGGGGAAGGAGAGGGGAGGAAAAGCAGCAGGCCACCTGAAAGGGCAGGGTGGATGGGCACAGGGGTGGCTCCTGGGGTAAGGCACAACCCTGTCTTTGGCTCTCCTGGTGAGGAATCCCCCCCCCCCCTTGCCCCTCAACCCCCCTCCCTCACCAACACACAGTTCCCTGGAGCCAGGGGCACCTCCTGGGGTCCCTGAAACAAGGGGTTCTGCCACCCAACCCAGTGCTGCAGGGGTATGAAGGATGGGGGTAAGCCCTGCCTGAGTACAAGGCAGGGAGGGGGCTAGGCAGGGATCTGCCCAGAAAAAATGGTGGGGAGGGAGAGGACACCAGTCCCAGGAGCTGGCCCCCAGCTAAGGCCTGGAAGGGGGGAGTACCTGGAGACTCCTTCCTTTGGGGGCTGGCTGGAACCCAAGCCCACCCCTCTCTGGCCCCTGGAGCCCACCAAGTGACTGGGATATTGTGCTTTGGGATGACGCTGGGGTAGAGTGTCAAGGCCAGGATGAGGGGCAGGGGAGGTGCGACTAAGGTGCTTGTGCTTTAGCTGGGGGTGTCAACTCCCCCCTCATACACTTGCCTCCACCCCCCCACACACATACTCGGGCCAGAAAGAGTGCCAGGATCACAGCCAGACCGGACACCTCCAACTCCACAAACAGGTGCTGGAGGGACCCCCTTCCCACAGGCTGGTAGAGGCTACGGGGTGGGGGATGTGGCCTCCAAGTCAGATTCCAAGGGTTCATTGGAATAGCCCCACCCATCCCTAGCAGGCTCCTGCCTCTGGAAGCTGTGGGCTGTCAGACTCAGGAAAAGACCAGAAGTGAGAAAGTGAGGCGAAAGGCAAGGAAAAAGCGAGACAAAAAATGTCAAATGACACCCAGCAGCACAGGGGGATGGGGAGCAAAAAAAAAAAAAAAAGAAAAGAACCCTCTGGTTCACATGTAAAACTAAAATCACTCCCACTGGATGAGGGTAAAAAATAAAGAGGAATGGTTAGAGAAAATTCAGCAAACAACTGCTAATAAATGCAGTGGGTCCTGCCCTGTCCCCAGAAACTGGGCTCTGCCAAAAGGCCAAGACCAGGTTATCCTTCAAATGTAGTCCAGGCGACAGCTGGCCTGGAGGCCTGCCTTGGAAACGTGCACCATATACTCTACATGCATGCACACATTCAGCCTACTCCCGCACCCCTCTCCTCATTTCACCTTCCACGGCCCCCAGCGACCAAAGGGCACATCAGACACAGTCCCATTGGTTTGAAAAATAAAAGGAATCTTATACTTCAATATTTCATTAGCTAAAAAAATGTTTTAAAAAGTATGTACAGGGAATGGGAGCTGGGAGCCCTGCCGTGGGGTGGGGTGGGGAGGGAGGGAAGAGCAGCAGCCTGCCAGCATGCTCCCCTGGTTCCACTGCCTCTATCTTCATTTATTTTAAAGCAAAACCTCTCCACAATCACACGCACACGCACCTGTGAGTCTCCAAAACCTCTCCTCAGAAACTCTGGGTCTGCATCCCTCACGCAGGACCTGCCCCACTCAGGTCTGCCAGGCCTGACGGGGCAAGGTAGGCTGAGTACAGGGTGGGGGGGGGAGAAGGGCGCTGGGCGCACTACCGCCTACTACCTCAGGTCAGTTTAGGTCAGTCATGTAATTTCTGAGCCTCAGGTTTCCTCAGCTGTCACAAGAGCAGTCCCTACAGCCTCGCCTATCCCAGCCCCAGGTGCAGGGACAGCCGGAGGAGACAGGAAGGCGCTTTTGGAAACGTGGAAGCACTGGGAGGTGGTGGCAGGAAGGGTCCTGAGCACCCCGGGGCCCCTGCAAGTCCCATGGGGCTGCAGCGAAGGGTGGAGTAGAGGACTGCCCCCTAGACTGCCCCTCCCCTGCCTGGCCTGGTTGAGTGGAATGGGAAAACAATTGCTAGGGGTTAGAAGAGGGGGTAGCGAGTACTCCCTGACTGTGCACGAGTGTGTGAGAGAGAGAGAGAGAGAGAGAAGGCCACGCAGAGCTCGCACCACTGCCACCCTCGCCCAGCCCACTCGGATTGGGGTCAGGGGTGGGACGAGGCCGAAGCATGCAGCACACCCTGCGGGTCCTGGGTAGGGACAGACAGTAGCTCGTGACCAAGATGGTAGGTGGATGGGTGACGGGAGGGGGAGTGTGACGGCCTCATGGAGGGGTTGGTGGGGGTTACTGGAGGGCCTCGGCTGAGGGGCCAGCCTCGCCATCATGGCTGGCTGTTTCAAAGCTGTGCTCCACGCCCATCATGTCCGGCTCCAGCTTGCCCGTGTCACTGATGAAGGTGGTGTAGGTATCGCCCTCGGGCGGCTTCCCCTTGGGAATCCAGCTCTTCCGCACGACGCGGCGGGCATTGGTGCACATGTCGGCCGCGATGGCATTCATTTCGCTCTCCTTGAAGTTGGGAGCAAAGTTCTGGCAGTAGTCTGTGCGGGGAGAGCGGACAGCTCAGGCCTCGGTGACCCTGCTTGTTCTGACTCCCCCACCTCCACCCACAGGACACCATGGAACCCTTCTTGGAGGTGAGAGAACAGAAGTCTTGCAAAGAGCATGCTAGATCACATTAGCTGGCTCCCTGCTTGACTAAGCTCTGCCACATATAAGACATATATGGTCTGACAGGGTGGCCCAGTGCTCTTGAAAAATGTGTATTATTTGCAAAATTTAGGAATTATGAGACTCCTTCCACCAGAGTTCTCTCCTGACAATTGGCTGGGGCTTGGCTGCTTCATAACTACCTTGAGTTTGAAGATCCTCCCCCTCCTCCCATCGGACACAGGCTTCCCTTCAGTGCCCTGTCCCCATGCATTCCCCAACTTTCTCCCAAGAAATCTCTAAGCAGCATGGCCCTCCTCCCAACAAGCCTAGATTGAGACTCAGATCCTTAACAAACCATACCCACCTATCAAGGCCAACACCCGAAAAAAGGACCATCTGCTCACCCCAGGGCCTCCTCCAACCCGCCTCCAGAAAGCCAGACACTCACACTTGACAGCATGGAGGACGCGACTGTCCAGCGGTTTGCGCCTGGGGTCATTGGTGGAAGAGCGGATGCCAGTGCCACAGCTGTTAGCCAGTGTGTTCCTGGGGGGAGGTCATGGGGAAGGAGTCAGATCCCCTGTGGTGGTGGGATCATGGACAGCTCCCCAATCCCCGGGCTTTGGCAAGGGCCTCACCGGTCAAAGAAGGAGGCCAGGAGGCGCCGCAGCAGGACCTTGTGCCGTGTGCCTGCACTGACATGGCAGTTCATGAGCTGCGCCCTTGTGATGTACACATTGGTGCCTAGAGGGAGGAGATGGAGGGTAGTCAGGCCCTAAACTGCCACATTCCCCACGTGGCCCAGCCCACTTCTTGGAGCTCCAGAGACCCTCTCACACAACTCACCCCTGGGCAACCTCATCAGCACTCAGAAAAGGACAGCTGGTGGTACCACTGCCTACAGGGCACCTACAATGTGCCAGGCCCATCTAGTACATGTGTAGCTTTTGTCAGCACAACCAGCTAGGAGTTACAACAGGCAGCAGAGGCTTGGACCCAGGCACACTGATTCCGTGCCAAATTCTTAACCATTCAGTAGTTAACCCCACACCACCCTAAGAAGCCACTCATCTACTGTCTTATGGCCATGATGTCCCTAATGCTTATACCTGCCTCCAGGGTAAAGGCTTAGAGGCCAATCTTTGATGTGTATCAACACAGAGGGTGTCAGCTGCCCTAGGACAAAGCCAGGGGCTATGCTACAGGCTAGTAGCCCAGAGGGCACCGAGGCCAAGGGTGGGGGGAGGGGGATTTGGGGAGCAAGTGAGGCCAGCCTACCTGTCACCAGCTCTAGCTTCTCAGAGGGGTCGCCCTCATCATAGAGCTTGGGGTGGCAGCGGTTACCGATCTGGTTGATGAGCTCGGCTGGGAGAGACGCCAAGTCTTGCCGCACCCGGATGCGATTCCGGGATTCAGGGGTCACCTGTTCAGGAAGGGCCTCCACCTTCTCGGCTGTCGGGGGAGAGAGGTATGTGTTGGTCATGGGGGGTGGGGGGCAGGGGTGGCGAAGGGGGGCAGGGGCGGGAGAGGATGGGCGCCTCACCACTCTGGCCGACGTTCATCATGCTGTACATGGTGTACATGTTGCAGATCTGCCGGTATTGCTCGTCTGTGCCCTCCTCGCCCGCATCCTCCTCCTCGTCTTCCTCATTGTGGTATGAGCCTGGGCTGTCGCTAGTGTAGGCGCTCGAGGTGCCAGGGCTGGTCCGCTCAGACATGCTGGGCCCACTCACCACGCCCCCTGCTGCGGCTGCCACCGCCGCCGCCGCAGCCAAGGCCTGCTGAGGTGGCCGGTTGGCAGCCAGGTCCAACGTGGAGAACCTGGCCATTTTTCGGCTACCATTGCCACCACTGCTGCCGCCAACCCCGGCCTCCTTCTGGCTGCTGTCCCACAGCCGCTTAGCCACCGGCGTGCACTGCACAGAGTCCGACTCCTGCTGCTCCGTCTTGACACGGGATACCAGCGGCAACGGGGTGCTGCATGCCGTCCAGCTCGATGTCTGAGCCACAGGGCTCTGGGGCTCGGAAGATGGAGCCTCCTCGGCATGTAGGCCCTGGGAGTCGCAGCTGGGAGAGCTCACCTTGAGGAAGAATTCAGTGCCCTTCTCCATGATCTCCTGGATCTGCAGAAAGCCAGCCGTGTACATGAGCAAGAACTGGTCCCCCATATTCATGCTCAGCCGGCCCGTGTAGCAGAAGCTGAGGATTTGTTGGAAGGACTGGGGCTGCACAGCCGCCGGCAGCTCTACCACCGCGCTCCGGCTGCTGTTGAACAGGTCCCGGAAGTAGGAGCTGCTAGCAGCCAGGACAGCCCGGTGGGCCTTGAAGGCATGCCCTTTGACCACCACCGACACATCACAGTACAGGCCTTGAAGCCGCTGCTCATTCAGGCACTCCAGAATGCTGTTGCCGAAGTTCGGGATCTCCATCTGCAGGGTCTGCGCCATGGTGGCAGCTGTGCAGGGGACAGGGGAAGACAGAGAGATGGGTCAGGTGACATGCTCAGGCCTGTTCTCGGTGGCATCCACATGGTAGGTTTGCTGAGGCCTTAAGAATCGCAGTTGTGGCTCAGGGGTTGTGCGTCAACCTATGAACCAGGTCACATGACAGATTCCAAGCTCAATCCCCAGTAGGGGGCATGCAGGAGACAGCCAATCAATAATTTCCCTCTCATCATTGATGTTTCTATCTCTCTCACTCCTTTGCTGAAATCAATAAATAATACATTTTTTTAAAAATCGCAGGAGCCACTCCTTCTATCCCTTTAAGACAGACTGTCAAATCAGTCATGTCAGCTACAGGATAGGGTGGCCACATGCTGTTTCTTGCAGACAACGGGGAAAGGCAAACTTACACAAAGGTGATTAAATATGAAACGAATTAATACAGAGATCAATAACGCATCACAAGTACTCTATGCATAGGGTAACTCTGAAGGGCACTGGCATGGAAACTCCCAGAGGGTCCAGTTACTCCATTTTCCCCAGAGTATTTAGTGCTGAGGACATGACACTCAACCACTATTTGGTGAATGACTAGTGACAGAACCCCTGAAATTGTGTAAGAATACCACCAGGCATCAGAAATGCAAATCCAAATCATAACAAGTCACTGTTTCATACCCACTAGCTAGATCAGGTAGAAAAAAAGAGACATGTGCTGTCAAGGAAAGAAACTGGAACCCTCTTATACTGCTGGTGGAAATGCAAAGATGTACAGCTGCCGTGGAAAACTGTCTGGCAGGTCCTCAACAGGTGCCATATTGCCCAGGAATTCCATTCTTCACAATTATACCCAAGAGAAGTGAAAACATATTCCCATAGAAAAAACTGCACATGAATATTCACAGCAGCACAATCCACAATTGCCCAAAGGTGCAAACAATCCAAATGTCCAGTAAGTGATGAATGGATAAACAAAATGTGGTACAGCCACACAGTGGAATATCATTCAGCCATAAAAAGGAACGAACAGGTACATGTCATAACTTAGACCAGCATTCGCCAACCGATGGTCCGTGAGGTCTGAAAGGTTGGGAACCACTAACTTAAGATAAAAGTGAAAATATTATGCTAGATGCAAGAAGCCAGACAAAAGGACCACATACTATATCCCATTTATAGGAAATGTCCACAACAGGTAAATTCATAAAGACAGAAAGCAGGTCTAGCCAGTTTGGCTCAGTGGATGGAATCTTGGCCTGTGGACCAAAAGGATCCAGGTTTGATTCCAATCAAGGGCACATACTTTGGCTGCAGGTTCCTCCCTAGCCTGGCCCTGGTCAGGGTGCAGAGACAACCAATTGATGTGTTTTTCTCACATCAACATTTCTATCTTTCCCTCTCCCACTCTGAGGAAAAAAAAAAAAAGAAAAGAAAAAGATCCTCAAGTGAGGATTAACAACAACAAAAAAGAGCAGATTAGTGATTGTCAGGGGCTAGGGTGATGGGAGGTTTGGGGAATGAGCAAAGAATACAGGGTGCCATATTGTGATGTATAAAAAATACATATTTGATCATTCAGATGACCAAAATATGTTATCTTCATCCATAATTACTGATTCACAGCTCTAGCAACACTTGGAATTTCCTAAGTGCTGACTGGCCTGTTAAGGTGACTTTTGGAAGCACCTTTGGATGGAAGCTGGTTGCTCAAGGACCCACACATGTGATTGGAGGGGTGGAACTTCCAGTCCCCCCACCTCTGGGGAGGGGAGAGAGATGTAACCAATCACCGGCAGCCAGTGATGCAACTGGTCAGTCTATTTATGGAGATCTGGAGAGCCGCTTGTCAGGAGAGGGCAGGGAAGCGTGGGACCCTTCCCCCTCACCCAGCCTTATGCAGCTCTTCCATCTGGCTGTTCCCGAGTTATACCCTTTTACAATAAATCAGTGATCTAGTTAAGTGACATATTTCTCCGAGTTCTGTGAGCAGCTCTAAGGAATTAATTGAGCAGTAAGTTTCTGTGGCCGGTCAGCAGAAGCATGGTAACCCTAGCTTGGGACTGCTGTCAGAAGTGTAGAACTGAGCCTGTGGACTCTGAAGCAATCTCCAGGTAATGTCAGAATGGAATTGAATTCTCGAACAATTTTTTGGTGTCTGAGAATTGTCTGTTGGTGTGGAAAGCCCAAACTCTATACCCCCAAGTGGAATTGAGTCCAAGAACCCAATTTACAGGATTTCTTCTTGAACTAATGGAAAAGGTTCTAAAATTATGATGGATGCATAACTCTGTGACTATGGTAAAAAGCATAGAATTGTACACTTTAAGTGGGCAAATTACATGGTATGTGCACCTCTATAAAAATAAAACCATATTCTGGGCAGAACTGGGGATGAGACTTGTCAGGTACGTTCTACGGTTCTTTTAAATTTTTAACGTGGTGAATGTATTGCCTATTTGCAAAATTAAACAATATTTTTAAATAAAATGTGTAAAACCAGCCCCAGCTGGTTTGGCTCAGTGGATAGAGTGTATGGCTTCGGACTGAAGGGTCTCAGGTTCGATTTCGGTCAAGGGCACATGCCTAGGTTGTGGGCTCCATCACAATAGGAGAATCAATGATTCTCTCATCATTGATATTTCTATCTGTCCCTCCTCTCTGAAATCAATAAAAAATTTTTTTAAAGTATAAAATCATACCACACATTTAATCTATGCAAATTAACCCTCAAGTGTTGGGGTAGGGAAGAAATGCAAATTTAAGGATCTGCCTGTGATCTTTGCTCATGGAGTTCAACCCCTCTCCTGATCAGTGTGGGAGACAACTGGGGTTGGGGGCCAGGAACCTCTAAAAAGTACGCACTAATAAAAACCTGATGAACAATATTAACTGTTGATTATAATAGAATCAGAGATATGGGAGGTGGAGCAGACTGACGATTCTCGGGGAAAAGGGGAGTGGTGGGTGCGGGAAGAGACTGAACATAAACTGTGCACCTATGGATGAGGACAATGGGGGATGGGGAAAGGGCAGAGGGTGGGGTGGGGGAACCTGGTGGAGGGGGGAAAAATGAGGAACTTTTGTAATAATATGAACAATAAAGATTGATTTAAAAAAAAAAAGTACACACTTCTGAGCCAGAGCCTATCCCATCAGTGCATATTCCAACCCAGGAGAACTGGTCTCATGGGAAGGGCATGTCCCCTATTCTAGGACAGGTGTGGAGAACTTTTTTCCTGCCAAGGGCCACTTGGATATTTATGGAACATCATTCACAGATGTTCATTCTTCAAAATTATCAATTTAAAAATTAGCCTGCTATATCTGGTCAAACTTTTAATTAACTCAACCCTAATGTCTTGGCAGGACCAGACCAAATGATTCCGTGGGTCTTACCTGACCTGGTTGGGTATTCCCTACCCCTGCTCCAGGGCCAATCATAAAAGACCACTGAAGGATGATGTGGCTTTAAAAGTGCCTCCAGGAGCCAGCGTATCCTTCTATAGTGGTCCTGTATAAGCAGGCAGAGAAAAGAAGAGAGGCCCTGAGCAGAGAGGCTGGTGAGAAGGATGAAGAGAAATGACCGAAGAGGAGTGTGTGCAAAGGCCCAGGGGCAGGAACTAATGGGAGCCCCCCAGCAGCGTTCCCTCAGTCCCGTTAGCTTTCACAGCTAACATTCATTACAAACCCATTCGGACCTGCCTCTATGGCTGAACACTGGGACACTGTGGAGACTTGGCTCTATCTTTTAACACTGCGTTCACTCTGAAAAGGCTGCCAAGGGAATAAAAGCAGCCACAAACCCATGGACTCAGAGGTGCACTTTGAGGCCAAGTTGAGTACTGGTTCCAGAACTGACTCACTCTTGGGATCAAGAGCTCCCAACCTCTACTTCTCCATTTGTAAAGAGATGCTGATAAGGCCAAGGTGGTTCTATAAACTCAATCTAAACTCACCAAGTTGCTTCACCTGGCAGATCCGGAGGGAGATGCAGGTAACCAGCATGAGCTCCCCGAATCCTGTTAGTAAACCTCTGGAGAGGATTTCATACTCCCAATACTCAGCTTGGAAAACTGAGGTCATGTGGCAGTTCAGGACTGTTCTGGAGTCATTGGTGAGTAAGTGATAGGGACAAGATTCAAACCAGGTCTGCCTGGGCACTGCAACCTGTGATTTCCCTAGGTTGTGCCCTCCTTCTCGTTGTCATAAACAATCACGTAGGACAATCAGAGGAGGGAGGCAGAGACAGGAAATCCCATTAGAAAGAGCACCTTTCCTGAGCTCAAACAGTGCTGGATGGGCCAGAAGCTGGCCCTGTGTGAGGCACCAATGAAGGTAAAGCAGAGCCCCATTCAGATAAGCCCTGACCCACCTTCTCAGGCTGCCAAACAGAAACCGCTCTGAGCACTGGGGCTCAAGTGACAAGGCCAATGTGTCCAAGGCAGAGAGTGGCTCCCGGCCCCCGGAAAGGTGCTTCAGACCCCCAGCTTGGAACGCTCACACCCCAGAAGGAGGACCAAGGCAGGACAGACAAGCCATGAAGTCAGAGGCCCCAGACCTGGGTTCTGATGCCAACCATACTACTCTCTAGCTGTGTGGCCTCAGGCCAGCTCCTCACTCCTCTGTGCCTGTTTGTTCATCTTTAAAATGGGGGTGTGTGCATCTAACCCATCCTGGTGGGCTGCAAAGAGGGCTCTCAGAGTTCACTTTCTAGTGGGGAGATACAGGGAGAGATTTAATTATAGCAGGGATGAATGCTACCTAGTAGTCACTCTTAGTGGCAAGGTAAATGGGTAGGGGGATGATGCATATAGAGCCATAACAGTCTTGGGCAGGAAGGAGCCCAGTGTGGCTGGAGGGCAGAAAAGGGGGACAGGAGCCTTGGCCTAGAGAGGATGAATGTGTTTTGAGAGTAGTGGGAAGCTCGGAGTGAGGGAGACTAAGGCCCAGACCAACTCTGGGGAATTCCCAGCAGCAAAATGGAGACCAGAACACAGGACAAA